TTGTGCTGGTCGACAGTCTGGTCTTTATCGAGATATGTATGATTGTACAATATTTTATTTTTGTACAACAAATGATCTAACATCACATGGAACATTATTACGTTATGATTTTATTTGTCCAGCTAATTATATATTTAGTATGTTAACATGTCGATGTGAACGTGGACAAACTCATGAATGTCGTACACTTACAAAAACTGATTGTCTTCTTTTGTAAATAATTCGGATCGTTTTCTTCTGTTTTTGTTTTTTTTTTATTTAAATTAATGATATGATATTAATAAGACACATAAAAATTGTTTTTTCAAAAAATAAACGAAAATAATTAAATTCACACATGTCAATGACAATAAACAGAAGCGTACATTTGCTTTTTTTTTTATATTTGATCTTACTCAAGCGAGTCATATCTAATGGACATATGCACTTTTGAACGTCATTCAGATATTGATGGAGATATAATTTATGCTTTTTAAAATTGTCTTTTGTTGCCGTTGTTGCTACGGTTTCGGTTCGATGCTCATTACGACACGACGATCATGACCTTTAAAAAATGTGTATATGCATGTCAATTGCTGAGCGCTAACCGTGTCCATTATTATATGCCTATATATATATGTGCGCAAAAAAATTTGCCTTGACTCATTTGAGCAATATAAAAAAAAAACTAAAATTTAAAACTAACCGGCAAAGATCAGATTGTTCATTTTTTAACAAGGGTGCTTATCATGAATGTAACAATGCAACAGCCGCTATCATATCCATTTTATATGGGTACACCACCTCTTCGCTTATCATCTGTTCCATGGTCTTTAGGTTCATTCCATGTACCTCCTTCTCATCGTGGACAATTTCTGTCCTCATATCCAACTCCTCGGCCATTACAACCATTTGTTCTTACTCAACAACAAAATCCATATGCAAGCATGTTATCTACACTCCCATCATATTCTAATAGACGTTATCAAGATTTTAAAAAATCAACCAGTTATCCTAATCGACGCCCTTCATATCGATCACTTGATACTTCAAAAAGGTCTCATCATGATTATGGATATAATGAATCAATTCATTCTCATCAAAGTCGACCATCAAAAACAAAATCTGTTTCTGATTTTGGACAAATGTCTCAATTTACTTCTACTCATTTACCTAAAGCTCATTCATGGCATACAATGATGAACCATCGTCAATCAAACTTGAGTGTTGCTTATGCAAAAGAAATGAATCTAACTCCAAAACGTCGTCGAAAACATTCACCAAAAAAATACAAAAAAATACGTTCTCAAAGACATTTATCATCGTCACCAAAACGAAATCCATCATTTATTAAACATCGAAAACGACCCATCCAAATACCTGAATATGGTATTGTTCGCATATCAACATTAGATGAGATGCCAATCAATAATAATCAAACAAATAAACGAAATAATAGTATTAATAATGATCGTTTATCAACAAAAGGAAGTCTGTCCAATTTAAGTAAACGTCGAAAAATATCAAAAGAAAAACCAAAAGAAAATAATTCAATAAAAAACCGAAAGATCAAAAAAAATGGTAAGAAAAAAAGTCAAGTTCAAGTGAGAATAGGAGTTTTCTAGTATTTACTATTTAGAAAAACCTCGTATGAACCTTGATACTGAGTCATTATCTTCATCATCGTCATCATCATCATTATCTTCATCCAGTAATAGTTATTCATCATTACAACAACGTTTAAATGGTTCATTACGTAATGACCCATTAATTATAGATGCTATGGAAGATTTTCGACAACTTCGTCGATTATCAAGTCAAAATACATCAATAAGGTAAGTTTTTTTTTTGTTTTTAAATTTTAAATTTTTCTTTAATTTAGTCCTCATAATCGAAGTTTAAGTCGTGATAGCCTTTGCTCAGATTCAACATTGCATTCATCAACAATATCTCGTAGTCATAGTCAATCAAGTTTTACATCTGTTGAACGTTTAGAAATTCGTGAATTAATTAAAACAGTTAAAACTCAAGGTAAAACATCATTAAATGCTTCTCATGAATCAATATCAATTGCAGTATGTGTACCATCATCTGAACAATCGATAATAACAGATATTCAGCAACCATCAACACCAAAGAACAAACCAAAAAAATCTTGTGTTACAGAAGAATTAGATCGTAAGTTTAGTAAATTACGTTCACTTGATCCAGATCAAGAATTAACTTATGTAACACCATCATCAATATGTAAACGAAAAAAAACACTAGAAAAGCCTGCTGAAAATATTCCACCTGTACCAACATTTGATGAACTTTTACGTCAAGTTCAATTACGTCCAGTTAATAAATTAATAAAACCTGTATGTATTCTTTATTTTCTTTCTTGTTCTATTTCATTTCAAAATTTATTTTTTTTTTGATTTAGATATCAACATTGAAAGAAAAATCAATAAATGATAATTATGAAAATCCATTAACATGTATTCCTGTTCCACGATGTAGTCCAATACCTATACCTGAAATAAAAACTGAAGAAACTAAACATGATTATGCAATACCAATAAAAAAAACTGAAGAAAAACCTCTATCACAATTAGATTCTGCAGTATCGATAAAAGAAACTGAAGAAAAACCTTCATCACAATTGTGTCATTTTCAACCAATGCGTACCTTTACTTTAAATAAACCAAGAATTAATCGAGTCGCTAATAAACGATCAAAATTTAATTGGTTTCAATATGGTCTAACAAATCAAATGCCAACAACTTTTCAACCAAATTTTGTTAGTAATAATCAAAATGAACATGAAACAAGTGCTGTTCAAGAAAATATTTATACATCAGATATTGATGCATATATACCATCGTCTATAACAGATAAAACTGATAAAACTGATGACAATACTCTTCAAACTCATCTTGATAATCAAACAATTCTAACAGATGATTTTTATTCTGATTTTGGAACAAAACAAATAACAGTTTCATCATCTTTAATAGATGATTTTTCAAATTTATTCACACGTAAACATAAACATGAAATTAAACTACATAAAAAAAATCAACGTTGTTCAATTATGTAGTGAGAATGTTTTTATTAATATGTATCTTTTAATATTGATTTTTATATTAAATATTCATTTGCATGTTTCTCGAGTACATTTTGTGACAACACTTAATATATCATGGTTAAATGTTGTTGAACGATAATATTCATTATTTATATGATATCATTTGTTTTTCTCTAATAATGGATCATTAAAAATAATATTAAACATTTCTTTCTATCATGTGCATAACGAATCATGTATTCAGTAAGATAATTCGAGCATAAATAATAATCCTCATGTGAACAGCTTATTTTTTAGCCAGGTGTCAATTATGTTGTTTTAATTAATAATTTGAATAGAGCTATGATTAAAACTACACATTTATGATTTGATTTAAGAATATGTAACTGTCTAAGAAGCGTCAATTCGAAGTGAATAATATATTAGATTTGAATAATAATTTGAAATAATCATAAGTGACGTAACTTCGGCAATAACAATCATGTGTCACTGCCTAATTCAAGTTAAATGCCTCATTTGAACAGAGATCTTTAAAAATGATCCGCCAGTCTTGTGATATTTCGATCGTAGAACTCAAATCAAGGTTCGATTATAAAAAAAAAACGATCCAATTGAAGAATAGGATCTAATTATTAAAAATCATCTTCAATCAATGGTGGGTTCTAGTTTCAAAGTTAATTTTGTCATTGATAAATCACTTTTTTACAACGATGTCAAAATTATAGAAGCCAACATGTTGATAATTAGCTAAAAGGTACATACAGATCTTCAATTCGTTCATATCTCTCTCTCTCTCTCTCCCTTACTTCTTTGTATATGAGTTCTTCTTTTTCATTCACATATTTTTCTAATATTTTCTGTATATTACTCCATTCGCATTGCTTTTTTGATTCTGCCGACAATTACTGTCGTCTTCGCTGTGTTGCAAAAAGAATGTGAGTGTGACTGTGGGTTCCGATCTTTTCTTCATCTATACTCTTACCTATCCTGAAGATATCACGTTTTTCAATATTTTCTAGTTTTGACATTTTATATAACCTTTCTATGGCTAATCCAATCTTCTAGTTAATAGTGAAATATAAATATAAATATATCAGCCATTTCTCATACATAATTCCGAGAAATTAAACTTAGAACTTTGTCTTCATTATGATATCATTGCGCTTTGTTATGTGTTGTTATTATCGATTTTTTCCTCAAAATAAAGATGAATTCATTCATGCATACTACCATAACCTAGCGCCACCTATCAGTTTCTAATTCGAATACAAAAACCAACGAATTTTTTTCTCCATTCTCTCTACTTATTATTCGCTGATTACCCTCCTTGATATAAATCGACAGATGAAAAGAAAAGAATGAATTTTATGACTCATTTGACGGAAGAAGTGTATATAAATAACAATGGCGATGCAGCAGTGATGGTCGCCATTTTTTTTAAAGATGTCTTTGACGTGTGAGGACATTTTTGATTTTGTTCTTTCTGGAATTTTCCATATTATCATGTCCGCTCAAGATTTTTTTTTTTTTCGTTTTATTTTACAAAATTTTACATCTTCAGTTCAAATACAATTTAGCGTTGTTTTTTTATTTCTTTTAAATGACTTTTTCAACTAATTCATTAACATGCTTATGCACTTAAAATTGAACAAAGATCAGAAGGAAGTGATTAAGGTATAGAATGATTATTTGTATAAAAAAACTTACAACATAGAAAAAATTTTCGTAATACTTCGATTGTTTCTTTCCTTCTTCTCGTAGAATTATTTCCAACGAAGAATTTAAAAAAAAAAAAAAAAAAAAAGAAATATAAAACTACGAAATCACTAATTAGATAGTTACGTCATCGATTAGTAACATTTCAATGATATAAAACATAATGAATTCGTTTTTATTTTTCTTGAAATTCTAGATTTCTTCCTATTTGATAAAAAAATTTGAAAAAAGAGAAATGCAATCAGTCGATGAATTTACACCATCAACAACAGAACCTGTATTTGGTAGTGGTTTAGTTTCTCAAACAAAAACTCAAGCATCAACAAATAATGAAAATAGTGATAATGAAAAAGTAGCTCCATCTTCAGAATCTGTTACTAATGGACCAAATGATACAACAAATGACACTGAAAATGCTACAACAAATGACACTGAAAATGCTACAACAAATGACACTGAAAATGCTACAACAAATGACACTGAAAATGCTACAACAAATGATACTGAAAATACTACAAATGGTACAACAGAATCTGTTACAGAAAATATTGATGCTGGTGATTCGACAGCTGTACATGGTAATAGTCAAAGTGAAAAACCAACGGTTGAAACAATGAATGAAACAAAACCAACCGAAGAACCAATTCCAGTTGAAAAATCAGAACAAGTTGAATTAACTGTTCCATCTACAACTGAACCCGAACCAGTATTATCAACACCAATAGATACAACTAATGAAGGTTCATCAATAACTATTGATACAGAACCACCTCCTCCTGCTGTTGTAGCAGTAGTAGCAACAACAACTACAAACGATAATGTTCCTGAGGTACCTAAACCAAGTGATTCTGAAACAACAGAACCGAAAAGCAAAGTAAAGTTAAAAAACAAGAGATTATGTTGAATTGTATAGGTTTTTTTTAAATAGACACCTCGGAGTAAACCTAAAACATCGGTTGTGTCAACAACACCAACACGTCATTCAGCACGTGGTAGAAAAACGGCTTCATCTTCATCAACAAATATTGAAGAAAATCAAACAAATGATGACACCGGTGCAACGACAACAACAACAACTACAACAAATCAAAATGAATCATCAAAACGTATAAAACGACAAGCAGCTACTATTGCTAAAGATGCTATAACAGCTAGTAATCAACCAAATTCAACATCTGGTAAATATAGATTTTTTTTTGATTATTTCAAATTTATTTGGATCTTCATTTTATTTTTTTTTTTAGGTAGTAGCATTGGAGATGATGGTAATGATCAAGATGTGATTCCATCTGATGGTGATGAAGATGATGATGTAACTGGTAATAAATCAAAAAAATCATCTCCAATAGGACGTAAAAAACGTCGAGCATCAGCATCACCAACAAGTGTAACAAAAAAAACCAAAGGAAAAAATTCGATTACGTCAACAAGTAATATTGATAATGAAGGTAAAAAAGTTCAAACACCACCAAAAAGAGCACGAACAAGTTCACCGAAAAAAACACCTGAACCACCCAGTGAAGAATATGTACGAAAATTACGACCAAGAAAATAATATTATATAAATATATATGTATATGTTTAATTTCTCTTTATTCTTGCTGCATATTACTTTATTGTCACGGTCAATTCTATGACCTCTTATTTGTGTGTGTCTTTTGTTTATTAAAGTCTGTATTCATTCGTATCTGATGCTTTTAGCTAGATATATATATATATATGTATGTGTGTTCCTTTCTTGTCAATGGATAGATTTCTTTTTTTTTCCGTTGTTTTGTCATTGTGTTGTTTTGAAAAAAATTGAAAGCAAAAAAAAAAAAAAGGAAAAGTTATCTTGGGAAAATGCAGATAGGTTTTAATGTTTGTTTTTGTTTTTGATTTAGTTGTTTCTTCTTTCTGATTTGCTGTTGAAGTTTTTTTTTTCTTGCTGTCATTTGATCTTCTTTTTGTTTCACTGTATAATAAGAGAAAACAAGAAAAATCAACTTTTGTTTTGCTTTCTTCTTGCTTGATTTCATCTTTTGTTCTCTTATTTTTAAACATGATGATGATGAAGAAACGAAAGAAAAAAATAGGGGGACATATTCAATTCAAATTACACATTCTCTAGATTATATAACATGTATATGCAATTTTTTTTGTCTATGTCAAATATTCATTACTATGACGACAATCATATTGTAATGAACATTTCGAGTGCTGCTTGAAGGTATGAACAGTTTTGTTGAGTATCTATATATTCTCTATCGTGAGTAGTTTAAATATGAAGACAACATTACATCGTAAATTAATTAAAATGATCTTCTATAGAAATGGCAGATATATGACTAATTCGATATAGCAACGAAAAATATATTGGCTTTTATATGAATATGAATTGACTGTCTTTTAAAGGAAGACAAATCGTACTTCAAAACCAAGAAGTTCTCTGTATTTGATTAGTTCAATATTTGCATACAATATATAAAGTATAAATATGCATTGTCAAACAATTCGTACTTTTTTTATTCAATAATATTATAGTCTTTTTCACTTATTCATTAATATAATCGAAATAAAAATTTATCTAACAAATACAATTATCAATATTTAACTAGGTAGTATTGATTAAAAGTAGGTATAATAAATAGTAGGAAAAAGAAATTTCTTGCGTAGTAGTACTTATGGATTTTTCTGAAATAGGATATGAGTATTATTCTCAGGTAAAATGATTTAAAGAATACACTAATAAATAAGAAATGTTTTGACAAATTCACATCCAGTTATGCTAAAGATAACAATGGAATAATTATTTATGTGTTTCAGATTAAAAAAAAAAGCAGAAAACTGTGAACTATGGCAAGCAGGACGTCAGCAACTAGACGAGTTACTCAAGAATCTCAAAAGATTGATTCATTGAAATCATTACTTAAAACAAATAACATTTTTTTATTTGTACCTAATATAATTGGTAAGAAAAGATAATGTTATTCAATATTATAAATGACTTAAAATTTTATTTAAGGTTATATACGTGTTTTTCTGTCGATTGCTTCATTTTATTTTATGCCAACACATCCGAAAATTACAATTATATGTTATTTAACAAGTGAATTTCTTGATGCACTGGATGGACATGCTGCTCGAGCACTTGGTCAAAGTAAATTGATGAGACAAAAAAAGAAAAATATATATATTTTTTTTTTTCGAATTCAGGTACAAAATTTGGTGCTATGTTTGATATGCTTATTGATCGATGTTCAACAATGTGTTTATGCTTTGTTTTGGCAATGTTTTATCCAAAATGGGCACTTTTCTTTCAACTTTGGGCTGCTATTGATGTTGCTAGTCATTGGCTTCATTTACATGCGTAAATAAAAATTTTCTTTTCAATAGATTAGAGAGAATGTTATATATTTAGAGCAACAGTCAAAGGCTCTGAAAGCCATAAAAAAATCGATCTATCAGGCAATCCTGTTCTTCGTCTTTATTATACATCACGTGTATATAAAAAAATTTTAATATCGTAATTAATTTTTCAATTCTTTCTTTTTTTTTTTTTTTTTTTAGAAAGTTCTATTTACCATGTGTGCTGGTAATGAACTTTGGTTTTCAATGGTTTATATGCTTCATTTTGGTGAAGGTCCTGCAGGTAGAACAAAGAAAAAAAAAAGAATTAGCATTTAGATGTGTTATTTATTTCTATATTAATAGTAATTACATATGGAGGTTATGCAATAGGTCTTTGGCGCCTTATTCTCTTTATTGTAACACCAATAATGGTATTAAAACAAATAATTAGTTTGATTCATCTTTATACAGCTGCACTTGATATGGCTGCTATTGATGAAGCTGAACGAGCAAAAAAAACATAAAACTAATTGAATTGATTTGTTGTTCTTTTTCGTTTTATCAATTATTATTCTCAGCATTTTACTAGAAACTAGTCGTTCACTTGCTTTCTTTTTAGAAAAAAATAAACGAGCAAAACAAATATATCTTTCTTTATTGATCGATAAGTTTTTTTTTTAATATAATGTTATCTATCTTCTAGATGTTCATTCTTTTTTTTTAAATTGAATTATATTTATCAAAATGTATTAGATGAGATTTATATTGAAATATTAAACAGGAAATGTCATATTAACATATTGGTGATTCTTCGATTCATTTCTTGTACAGATGACTCGTATTTAATTGATTTTCAACTCGACCCTAAATTATTACTCATGAAGATTATACAATTAAAAAAATAATATTTTGATATCATAAAGATTTATTTACTTGTAATTAAACTACAAAGTCAAAAATTAGACAGTTTTACAGTCCACGGTTATTTTATTTTTGAACAAACATGCCTTTACAGTTCCACCAGATTTCTATGATGACATGATTATATTAAAACCAATATAATAATTAGGTTTGGTATTATCTGATACATAATAACGATTGTAGATTTTCGTATAATCGATGGATATTCGAAGAAAAAGATCGCACGACATACACTAGTGAGTGACACAAAGTGAACATCATATAATATATAAGAGACAACACAGAGGAACAAATTGAATGCCGTGCAATACATGATGGTACGAACCAGGTTAAATCATACATTATCTATATTGATTAATAAAATATCTTCAAACAGAAGTCTATCAGAGTTTTCACAACATTGTGTTAATATTCCAGAAAAACGATTAATATTAATTTTGTATAATTTACGATAAGACTTAGAATCTTTTGAGTTGAAATTTAAGTTGAAATTTTAACTTTTTTTTTATATGCAATAAAAAATATTTATTATTTGTTACGCTATAGTGATATAGAAGCTACGACACGTTACAATCAACCCTATTTTAAAAGGCGATAGCTGTTATAAATTAGAAGTGAAGAATCATTTTATATATTCATAACAATTGTTTTGTATTAATTTTTTTATGGCATTGTGATGTATTTCTTATATTTTCTTGTTTCAGTATTTACTTAATCTACGATGTCAAAGATATTGCCAAAATCTCGACCCATTATTCTTCGTTCAATAATATTGTAGAGAGTTCATTGTTTTCCTGTTTTGTAGAGTAATGACTCAGCTTCAAAAAATATAGGAAACAAAGTTTTTTTGAATTGATTTTAGTCGGAGAAAAAGTCCAATACCAAATGTATCTTTCTTACCGAATTATTCTTTTCCCCTATAATACGTTAGGTTTCAAATTATATAACTATAGAAGCTAGGGGTCGTTTTATCATTGTCTCAGGTGAGGTATGATAAATGATGTTGTAATCCACTTCCAGATTGAAAATTTATAAGTTTTTCATCAATGTCACAAAATAGGTCATCTGATATGTATAATAGTTTCTAGATGCTAAATGAATTTCCCTTCTTCTTCTGAAAAAACATACAATTCTTTACAAATTCAAATGAGTTTTAACCTGAATCAACATATTTAAGCCCTGGATAACAGATTCTTTCCAATGTTCTATGGTTTTCATGCATAATAGTGTTTTCTATTGAAATGGAAACGTATAATATACCTTCTTTACTGGCAAAGAATTATTGAGAAATGTAAGTCGATAAAGTTTTGTAAGAACCACTTTCTTATCAAATTGGTGTTCAAGAAACTGTTTGTCTTTAGACTCTACAAAAAATAGAGAATTCTTTTTGCTACTAAAACTATTTTTTCTTATTCATAAATAATCTCAAAATTTTTTCTATGCTTGCTGACGTTTAGAATTTACTCCTTCAATTAGAAAAAGAATCAACTTTCTACAATGCTTCTAAGCAGAAAATCACGGATTGAGATTTCAGCAATTACTTTTGCATTGTAGATTAGCTGTAAAAGAAATGAAGATTAATTTACAAACGGAATGTTCACTAGTGATGGTGTTCAGCATGATAACGGTCGGGTGAGTTTTCTCATAGATGCTAGAATAGCTTATCAACGAAAATCCTTTGTCAAAGAAACCTATACATCATATTAAGAATGTAAAGCATTACAGAAATGTTTATCACAAAAAAAGAAGATAAAGACGGTAACATTGAATAACTTTTATTGAATAAGATATCAAGAACAGCACTTCTGTATTCTTTGTACCTTTTCATTAACCCAGTCCCTTGATCTGTTAGTCTTATAACACCATTATACAATATATAGTCATAGCTATCATTTGGCTTTGATTAGAAGGGAGAAGAGTTAAGGGAACAAGTTTTTAAAGCGATAGACAAATTATTCATTTATTAGTATTTTTTAGAAAAATATATTCTCAAGTGGAAATTTTAAAACTCTCATTATCAGTCGTGAACACTTTCCTCGGTCGCTGTTGCTTGTGTTAGAATAATTTGTAAAGAAATTTCGAATCAATGGAAACGAATATATTTTTACTATACATAACAACTATTTACATCAATAATTTAAAAAGTAATGTTCTTTCTCATTATTGTATGTTATTTTGTCTATTGTATGGATGTGAGTGTGAATGTACTTTTCTTCACTCGCATCCCCTACTAGTGAGGGACGAGAACAAAATGAAGCTATTTGAAACTTTATCGCTTCATCTAAAGAAATGACTGTTCAGTAG